GTCTGTGTTGTCTGTCTGTCTGCTGTCTGTCTGTCTGTCAGTCTGCTGTCTGTCTGTCTGTGTGTGTGTCTGTCTGCTGTCAGTCTGTCTGTCTGTCTGTCGGGTGTGACAGAGAGGTACATTTCAGGTCGGCTGGCAGATCCTGCAGTGCTCAGGTGTGTGTGTGTGTGTGTGTGTGTGTGTGTGTGTGTGTGCAGGATGAAGAGGAGGCTTTCATGTGTCGTCTGGCGTCTCTAGCGCGAGTGTCTCTCAGCAGTATGAACACAGATGATGTTACAGGTCAGAAACACACATCCGAGTAACTGATGATCATCGGTCACACTGGAAGAGCATGTCATTCACTGAAGGGCTTGTCTGTTTTATCCTCACAGAAAGCGGCTGAAGACCTGCTGCTGGATCGTCTTCTCATCAGACCAGCAGGAATGAAGGCATCTTCTCATGTTTCTGAGGATCACGCGCTTGTTTTCTGTAGTTCTGCTTCACTTTGTCCCATTAAGAGCAAAGATTGCTAAAAATCTCCAAAATATCTCAATCGTTAAAGAGAATGATTGTTTGATGGTGTCAGATTCTCAATTAAAATCTGTTTATTACAGTCTTTTATGAGGATCTTTATACCTGTGGTTTAAAATGGATCACTGTGACTGGACTTTTCTCTTTCTTTATAATAAAGCTATTTATGTATTTGAGCAGTTTTCATGTTTGAAACTAAATGTGTCGAAGTGTGAGATAATGAATATCACTGACGATTCCTTACAATGCCCGAGTTCACGAAGATAGCAGCGAGACTGCAGCTTATTTTAATCAAATTAAACACTTTTAACATTTCTAAGTGACCACAAAAATAACCACATATTATAATCAGTGTTTCCAAAATATGACATTTTGTGTAAGTGCTTATTATTAAGATAAGGATGTTGATAATTTTTTTCTTAAATTCAGTCTAATTAAGTGTGAGGGAAATACTGTTATTTTTTTTACAGGAATATTCAATAAAAGACAGCGCTTCTATATTAATATATTTAATATTTTCTCCCGCTCGGTTGGTGGCGGTAAAGCGCCGAAACGTGTTTCTAACTGCCGCCAAATAAGAGGTTGCGCGACTGCGCATGCGCGGAGGTCAGACAGCCAAAATGGCAGCGAGTAACGGCGGAGGAATGGAGGTAGACGCGACAGGTGAGAAAATCACACTTTAGCGCCGTTTAACGCTCTTTATATCGACAGATCCACTTCATTAAACACAAATACGACAGACGATCACTGGACTGAAATCACAGGTCATCTCGAGCTGCCTCTGATGAGGCTCGGGCTGTTACTGACAGACTGACGCTGCCTCGGGCTTGATTTCGATTGGTCAGCGGACCTCATAAGTCCCGCCTCAACGGCGGACTCTCCTCTGTGATTGGCTGCGCTCTGGTTTTGTCAATGGCAGCAAGTGCAGCGTTTCTGGCTTCACGGCGTTGTGCGCTCATGTTGATATTTTAGTGTTTGTTTTGGGCAACACGAGTTTATTGTCATACGATCAAATGTAATTCTTCTGTAAATGTGTCAGAGTGAAAGGATCCGAATGACTTTACCTCAGATACCGTATAAATCAGTCAAACTTAACAAACGCCATGAGTGAAATTAACCTTCATGTTGTGTTCTGGTCATTTAGACCCGGAGAGAATATTATTTCTCCCGAAAATGTTACTTAATGTTATCGCATTGGACTGAGATTTGCTGACTTTGTTTACACAGGGTATAACTACTTCCACCGCAAAAATTGTTAAGTTTCGTTAAACATTTTTGATTTTATTCAACCGTGTTACACTTGTGTTCCTGGTCAAAAATAGCTTCTCTTGTGCTGTATGATCACCAAACATGGGATTCAGTTTTTTTTGTCAATTAGTTTTTCTTCAATTAGGACTGGTTTTGTATGTAATTTTGATACAGAATGAATTGTAGGCCTTATTGATCTTAGCTTTATTGGTCAAAAATGACCTTCCATTGAAAATGAATGGGTAGATTGGAAATCTGAGAAATATGTAGTGTTCAGAAGCATGTTGATCATGTTTGTTCACATGTATTAGTGCCTGCAAACACACTGCTCAAAAAAATGAAGGGAACACAAATCACAAGTCAATTTAAGTTAATTTTATTAAATTATATTTTCTCTATAGCGCCAGATCACAGCAGAAGTCATTTAAAGTTACCTTTCCGATAGAGCTTGTCTATACACTGAATGAGTACATTAATACATGAACAACACCTCCAGAACTGCTCTGAGTCGCTTCATCAGCATCTGACCGCTGCATTTCACTAAAACTATCCTCATATCACACACACACAGCAATGTAAAGGTATTCACGGCAACCCATCAAAATAAAAGTTCGGTTTAACTTGAAGACATTGTAGCAGAAATATATTACTATTGTTCAGTAATTTTACTACTAAAATTATTAAAACCTTATTTTTAAGGAATAATCATACAATATTTCTTCAATGTTTTAATTGTAATATTAAATCACCTTTATTTTCCAAAAAATATATTTTTTTAAATTTTCATTAATTAAAAGATAAATTAAATGACTGTTTTATGCCTTAAAAAATGTAAATACACAACACAGAATTTCTGAGGAAAAAAATCATACGGCTATTGTAAGAATAAATGAAACTTGTTTTTATGCTTTCAAATAATTAGACATGTTAAATCAGAATTTGGTAACAATAAAATATTAGGTTGGAAAAAATAAAACATTTAATAGGGCCCTAAACATGTAATTTTTGTTAAACTTTTAATAAATTGATGTTAAATTGTTTAAGTTGAGAGACACTGGCAACAGCGGATGCTTCGATACTGGATTGAAGTCTGGAGACCGTGAGGGCCAGTCAGTGTCATCTAAACACTGCACACTCTCGCCACCGAGGCCAGGCCTTCGCATGCACTGGAGCACCAGCGGCTCTGAGGATTTCATGAGCCATGATCCCGCTGCCTAACAGCAGTAAGAACCATTGGCTAACAGGTGGAGGTCTGTGCAGTCCTCCCCAGACCATTACTGACCCACCGCCACACATGCTGGATGCTGCACACAACATAATGTTCCCCACAGCATCTCCACACTCTTTCACATCTGTCACGTGTGCTCCGTGTGAAGCTGCTCTCATCAGTGAAGAGAACAAGATGCCAAGGACAAACCTACCAATTCTGGTGTTCTCTGGCCAATCGAGCTGCATGGTTCTGAGTTATTCCACCCTAATGAAGTCTGATTCTGACAGTTTGATCTGAAACAGGCACACCTCTAGGCTGCTGGAGGTCATTCTGTAGCAGTGCTCATCCGTGTGAAGTAGCAGGTTCCGGTCCTGCTGCTGGGCTGTTGCTCTTCTGCATCTCTGTCCAGATCTCCTCATGTCTCCTGGCATCTCCTGCATGCTCCTCAAACTGTGCTGGGACACACAGCAGACTTCCTCATGATGGCACCACTGGTCGATATATAATGACTATATTATATAAAGTTCTCTATGATAGATCAGTGGATGGAGGAGCTGGACTCCCTGTGCAACCTGCCTGGGTTACAGTCTCGTGCTACAGACAGTGAGGAGAACCCTAACCCTAGGCTCAGATTAATGAGGCCTACGATGAATCAGTTCCAAAAATAAACACAAAACCAGTCCTAAATGAAAGAAAACAAGCTGACAAAAAGATTGATACCAATATTAGGTGATAATATAGCATAACGAGATTTATAAGCTATTTTTTGCAGGCAGGTCATTTTTGACCGAGAACACCACAAGTGTTAGAGATTTGAACACAACCTGAGGGTTAACACATGAAGACAGTCGAGATTTCAGAATGGACGTGATCATGTGACTGAAGCGTAATAATTCTGCAGTTTCTCAGAACCATTCCAGGTTTTGCTAACGTTCCCAATAAGTTATGAAAACATTATTTTTCAATGTTTGTCTGTCTGTGTGTGTGTGTCTCTCTCTGTGTGTGTGTGTGTGTGTCTGTGTGTGTGTGTCTGTGTGTGTGTATGTGTATGTTAGACCAGTTTAAGTGTTTATGTAGTATGTTGGACTAGTTTAAGTGTT